TAGAAACGTTGTTATGTCAGTGCTGTGTTCTGTCGCACCAATGCATTTAGGTTGCCGTGGAAATGCGTCAGTGGGCGTAGTGCTGCAGTCTATATTCCCGTCTACTCTGTGCAGCCGCCAAGGTTACGACCACGCGGGTGCTATCATGTAATTTCAATTTTGCAGCTTCTCTCACAGCTGCGCCTGTCCTGTGTTTATTTATTTATTTATTTATTTATTTAATTTCACATAAAACAGCGCTGATTGCGCTATGACAGGAGTGGGGGTACAAGGATACGCAAAATTTAACTAAAACAATGAGAATAACGCAAACAGATAGCATATTAACGTCCTGTGAACATTCACGCCAATATATCAGAACATAAAAAAACATCATTTGCAAACAGATCAACGAATATTGATTGATTGATATATGTGGAGTTTAGCGTCCCAAAAATACCATATGATTATGAGAGACGCCGTAGTGGAGGGCTTCGAAAATTCCGACCACCTGGGTTTTTTGTTTTTTTAAGTGCGGCCAAATCTGAGCACACGGGCCTGCAACATTTCCGCCTCCATCGGAAATCCAGCCGCTGCAGCCGGGATTCGATCCCGCGACCTGCGGGTCACCTTAGTCACTAAACCACCGTGGCGGGACTCAACGAATATTACATATATATGTTGTGGATTTAGGCTACATAACTCTGCGATGGGCAGCAACGAACAGAACCAGGTAACGAATCGTCTTTTATAGAACGGGAGAAAACTCGACTGCGGGTAATGAGACCTCGAAATTAGATTGCGATAGCTTCTCGTCGTTGACTGTGGGGCGAAGTTCATGTATTCCTTATTATTTGACAGCTTAACTGTGAACAAAATGATGCTTAGGAAGAACTTTAGGAACTCTAATAACCCGAATGGCGGGGAGTTATTTGCAATGAAGCTACAATAAAGGAGGGTGAGAAATCTTGGTTGTAACGTATCATATGTCATAATCATATGTCATCGTCACGATGACATATGATGCTTACTAGCTATTTCTGAACTCCTTCTAGTTCTTGAATCTCGCACCGCTTATACGGGTTCCGGACAACAGACGCGCAGTCAAGTACAGGATGAATTAGCGATTTATGTAAGAGGAACTTTGGGTCTTTTGGATATATAGACAGTATGCGACGTAGAATGCCTTGTTTTTCAATGCTTTGTTACACATATAGTCGATGTGTTTGGACCTTGACATATTGTGTGCAAAAATAACACCGAGATACTTATATTCGAAAACACTACTTAGAGGACATGATAACAGAGGTAACTCGGATATCATAACGGAGATAATTCTAAAAATAGGACGATGCATCAGCTGTAGCCCAAATCGACACATCGCTCGTGTCAGCCTTTCCCACCACTCCATTTTTCTTATGTGATTTTTAAAGAGAAAAGAATAGAAAAGTGAGCCTGCATCACTGTCTGCATCAGAGTGCGACTCCTCAACAGTAGCTCACGAGGAATGGGGGTAATGAGAGATTAAAAGGGTGGGACTAAAGGTATAGAGAGAGAGGGGGAAGGAGAGAACATGGCGCAGGGACAGCGACACGCAGAAGCAAGGAGAAGATGTGGTATTCTTGCGGGGGGGAGGGGGTGGGCATGACTTAGTTATTAAATCAATAATAATTGTTACGTGTCTTGCTTCTGAAAACAACGATATGGTGTCAAGCGATCTGTAGCGGAGAGTTCCTGTAATTTCGGCTATCTGGTGCTTTTGTTTCTAACGTGTACCTAAAACTAAGCACACTGACTTCTGGCATTTCGTCTTCATCGAAATGCGGACGACGTTGCCAGGTTTCCCGCGATGTTCTGGGTTATCAGTCGAGCATCATAACTACTTGATCAGTGCGACGTTTCTAGCGTTTAAACTCCAGCTCCGTTTCAATACAAAGCCCCGACCCTAATATTGAAGAGAAACTGTAGCAGAATCATGCTTTCTTCAAATGTATGCTTTCTTTCAAGTAGAGTTTCAGTTCCTAGACCAGTGCTTGTGTTGTTTCCTTCTGTCAAGTGGTTTCATTTTGTGCGCTGCCCAGGATAGATAAAAAAAAATTTTGAAATCATCCCACCCACCTCCCTCTGCTGGCCTGCCAGCCTCGCTAACCTAGGGGGATATAAAAGCAAAACATAACGTACAATAATTTAGCAGGTTGCCATGAGCGCCATTAGAATCCTGTTATATTAGTCGGTGCACTTGCATTAAACAGCGTTTTTGCATAAAGTGTAATTTATTAAGGAATAAAGTTTTTTCGAGCACTTCTTATGACAAAAAATGGTGACTATTTATGCGGTCTCCGTAACAGCACATGTTTGAGACCATCAAAAAATATTTTCTCATTAATGTGTATATCACCACAATGCAATTACTTCGCGAGCATTATCACATGCATTAGCTATACCGACGCTTCATTTCGTTGTCAGCTGTTTTAGGTCAGATACCATCGAGCTGACTATGAGCGTGTGGGGATATTCTGTTTTATTTCTGAGTAATAAATTTATCAATAACATTTTTAAAAACTTATTTCGACCGTTTCAATATACCTATATCTGAATGAAGTCGTAAGCCGATTTTTCCATCTTTCTGCTTATCAAGGCGAAAAGCTCAGATGTCTCATTGAACATAAGAAACTGATTAATTGATTTGTGGTGTTTAACGTCCCAAAACCACCATATGATTATGAGAGACGCCGTAGTGGAGGGCTCCGAAAATTTCGACAACCTGGGGATCTTTAACGTGCACCCAAATCTGAGCACACGGGCCTACAACATTTCCACCTCCATCGGAAATGCAGCCGCCGCAGCCGGGATCCGAAACATAAAAAACTAGCAGCCGGTGTCAGAATAAGGGATGCAAAAAAACCAAAATTAACGACGTAGACCATAAAGTGTCAGCATGACGTTACAGGTCGTCAGAGTTTGTGATCTCGCCGTGACTTATCACGGTGACTGTGCTGATAAGTGCTGGCCCGTTGTTATCGCAAGCCACGGGGCTGTGACGTAAGTGAGCCTAGAAATACGAGTCAAAATTAACGCCCGGGGCTTTTTTTTTTTCAGTTGGTGGCTCCCAGGAACTGAAGATGAGCGGTGTGATCCTTGATCGGCGAGGGGCGTTGGTCGCTGAGTTACTGCCGTCCGCACTGACATGACAGTGACAACGGTAAATGTGATTTTTTATCCCTTAGGAGTGGTTGATTGATAACAATGAAAATATCATTAGATCCAATAAAATATCATTAGATCCAAGTCCATAAGTCATTCATCTATCATTCTTCTTGATGAAGAATATATTTACCTGTTAGACAAGACATGAATCATGCTTCGTTGTAAGACATGCACACATGTACATAGTTTTGACGAGTCATTATTCTCTATTTATGTTCTTCCCTTTTCCTAATAAATTTCAGTTGTGAGTTCAGCGCTTTGTCTCTTCTCTGTCTGTATCCAATTCGTCATGCTGTAAAAATATTCTAAGATGAACATCCACCAACTTTCCCAACTCACGATTCTGCTTCAGTCATCACATCAGCAATATTTATAAGCTTACATGGTTCCTTTGTAAATTCTATCGATTCTTTACTTGTTTTAACGTCCTTTTCATTATTTCTTTTTAAAATCTACCTTATCCGTGCATGTTTTATCCTGTTTTTTTTTGTGTCATGCAAAAAAATCTTGTGCTACCACCTGCTACTTTACCACTGTACAGAATATGTAGCTTTCCCATATATGTGTCTGTTTTCAACAAACACATATTTTGTTAATTCATTTCATTCGTTTTATTACCCCAAAAGTCGCAGTTGGGATAATACATGAAGGAGTGGGTGATGAAAAGGTTATTAATATCAGGGTAGTGATGATGGGATGGTTTCAATGAGCCGCTTGAATGCTTGCGTGTCTATATGATGGTGGCGACTTCGGTGAACAGGTCATTCCAGTCTCGAGCTGTGCGTGAAAAAAACGACTGGTGAAAGGCGATGGTACGGGCTTGCACTGGATAAACAGCGTTACAGTGGCTGTGGCGGGAAATGCGATGGGCTCTTCTGATGTATAGGTTATCTGAAGGCAAAGGTGGGACACATTTTATGATAAAGGCTAAGACATGCAATTTTGCGGTGTCTAGCCAGGTCGGGTAAGTTAATCTTTGCTTTTAGTGCCGAGATGCTTGAGGTGTATGAATTGTTGGCACGAATCGGGCCGCATAATTCTGGACAGACTCGAGGGCGGTAATGAAGTTATTGTGGTGAGGATCTAAAATCACATGCGCATACTCTGGCTTTGGTCAGACAAACGTTGCAAAGGCAACTTTTTTTAAATAAAATTTTAATAGAAAGGGGAGCGAGTGAAAGGTTACGGCGTAAGTACCCTAGAGCACGGTTAGCAGAATTTACGAAGTCGTTAATATGACATGTCCCAGTTAGGTCTCATGAGATGGTCACACCTAGATATTTAAACAAATCAACTTTAGAAATCTGGTTGTTATTGATACTGTAGGTATAAACAGCATGATGAGGATAGTGATGAATAGACATTAACACAGTTTTAGAAACATTCAAAGACATGAACCAAGATTTATCCCAGTTCTGTGATTGGATGGAATATGGAATGATCTAAGTTCTGTTATGTAACTAACAACAAGAGGTCCCACGGCATATTCTTAACTGCCGGACCTCTTTTTGTGTATTTTATCGGTTGTGTGACACCTTGAGTAACAATAAACTTGAACTTGAACTTGTCTAAGGATGATGCATAAGGAACAGTGAGACTTTCTCCCTCTGCACTTTGGCTAAAATCACCAGTCATCCCTCCTCCACAGAACTGTATTTAAGCACAGAAGCATCTCACAGCCTCGCATTCTTCTGACAGTGTCTACGCCGATCTCGGCACGCTTATCACTCTGCGATAAGGACAGTTGGCGTACACTTACTCGGCTACGTAGAGGGCCCTACCACTGCTATCAGCCCCGCCTCCGTATAGTAACACCCATCGCGGCACATCGCACTGCTGGCAGTCGGAAAAGTGTTCACAGTTTACTTCGAGCTCTTGGGGCATATACCGCTGAAGAAAAGTCGGTCAGTGGGGATATTGTCAGTGAAAGTTTTTGAACTTGGACTTCCTCCACACCGGTAAGAATTGCTTCGACATCTTCCTCACTGATATGCAGGGAACCACAGTTTGTCTGGATTTACACTTCTTTTTTTTTACGTCTAGATGAATAACTTCTAAAAACCTTCTCGAACCTTGTTGTGCTCCTCATTGTAAATACTTTTATGATGTTAGGATGTGTAAGTGGTGTGATGTACAAATCATGATGCAAAATAAGAAAGCATGCACTGATTACGTGTGAGCTGTCAAACTTGCACATATGTTTTTGTCGGTGTCGCGCTTTTCTGAACAACGCTGTGAATTGTTGTGCCCACCTTCCTCCCGTCTATCTCATTCTCGAATAGGACTAATAAATGAAATTTTGTGATCACTGTTAAACTAATTTCAGTATTGCACAAGTTGAATTGTTTTGGTAGCGACGGCACAGCTACTCGTCGTTAGGTGGCGGATTCAATCACTGGCTATATAGCGAACACACTCGATGACTGTCCGTAGAGCCTTGCTCATTCTGGAAATAGTCCACAAAAAAAAACAGAGAAGAAAACCATATTACAGCTTCTACATCTCTTGCTGCGTCGCTTACCACACCATTATTGCCTTTTATCGTTATGTTTTTGAATTAATCGTTTCTTTAGTGGAGGGAACTGTACAAATGCGAGAAAATGGGGAGTTGAACCGCGTTGACCCTGGCAGTTCTTGCTCTCATGAAAGTTGGCTTGAGCCATGGCGTAAGAACAGCATCGAGACTACGTGCAAGGGCAAACCATGCCGCAACAGGTTTTGGTAGCAGTGATAAGCGAAGGTGAATTTCACACACACGAAGTTCGCGAATTTTTCACGGCCCCCTTAGCGAATTTCTCATGTTTCTTTTTTTCATTCCCATACGTCCCAATAGTTCTAGCCTGCATCCATTACAACCACTTGCTTCAGTTTTTAAGAAATATATTGCAAAAGAAATAAAACTGTTCTCCAAACGATCGTCAAGGCAATTTGAGAATGGCATGCTGCTTTTCAACCACATTATCAAGATCCCTTTTAAACGAATTTGCGGATTTTTCAATTCGGAGCTGTCAATGCCTTGAGACACATACATGCACTAACGACGTGATGTTTAATTGGCTATTATTATTATTATTATTATTATTATTATTATTATTATTATTATTATTATTATTATTATTATTATTATTATTATTATTATTATTAAATATAGAACGAGAAGAAAAAAACAAAATACGTAATACAGCAAGCATAAACTCCAATGCAATAAAGAAAAAGATTGGTCACCTGCACCTTGACGAGCACCAAAGCTATAAAACTGAATGGCGACTTCCTAAGCATGAAAAATATCCAACCTTATGAAGAAAAGAGGATAACACAATATTCAGATTACAATGCGCCAGAATACCCTCCTGAGCTAGTCACCATACGTGACGGCTTGGTCGCATTGCTTTTTCCGTTTCTTGAAGAATTTGGTCATTGTCGCCTCATCACTTCTATAGTGACTCGGCGCAAGATATTCACGATGTATGTACGTAGACTATATCGGTCCACTTGACTCTTGATAACATTCACTGCCTCGCTATCTCTGCAAATATCTGGATATGCGTCGAGGGTGCCCGTCAAATGGCCATGCCGGGCCTTGTTGAACCAGACTTGCAGCCCACTTACATGCTGAAACACGGCCGCTTCTGGACTTTTCCTGAGAGTGTCCACAAACATCTGCTACTGGATCGAGATAATCGCACGAGCCCTTATTATACCTCTGCGTGGCTCAGACGGCCCTGATGAGTTATTATTATCGCTTTTTATCTGACTATTTACTTAAGGCCACTCAGGTCCCTTCAAGCTGTTTTTGACAGCTTTTTGCCTGAAAGCACCTGCGACATTTTGTGTTGGAAATAACGTTCAAGGTTCATAGTGCTAAACAGCTGAACGGGTCAATGCCTATTTACACTCAATGCGCATGCGCTTGCGCCCGACTCTCATAGGCTGCTCAAAGTGAGTGGTCAATGCACGACCCCCGCAAGCCCACCCACACTGTGCAGGGTGGTCGGGTGGTTTGGGCGTAAAGTTGTCGTTACGGAGGGGCTGTGCTCCCTCTATCTGACGCTGCTCTCTGGCCACAACAGATTGATATTCTGTGGTGCATCGTGCGCCTTTTGTGTCTCACCGTCGAGAGTGTGACCGCACGGCACTTGATGTGTGCTTACATATATCTCTGCATTTCAAGTCGCCTTTGTCGCCTCATAGCAATAGCAGGGCTCAGACTAAGCTGATGACATGGTTTTTATCATGGAACACAGACCTGTTCATTGTTCGCTTCCACACGTTCAGCACAATTTAAGTTACTTCATATATTTACGGCAAGCTTTCGTACTACACTAAATAAGAAGCATTCAAATAAAGCAAATGATGTTTAGGATAATCAACAGCTTTTAGATATTCTGACATTTTCCGCTTTTCTACGATCCAGAGCGCACAAATGCAGCAACCTTACGATATAAAGTCAGTAACAGGAGAACTTTTAATGAATATTAAAGACACACATTAGCGTCAAAACTGATGTGCGTATGGGTAACGCTACAGTCTCATAAAATGATTGAAGTACGGGTGTGTCCTCGAGCTGAGAAACTAAACAAGGGAAAAGAGGTTCCAGTAACGTAGAGTTTTGTAGCTGCCCAACGAAACATTCTTCAAATCCCACAATTAACAAGATTTAGTGTTTCAGTGATAGTGGACATTCAGTGAACATTCTAAAGGGTGCTTACCAGCGAAAACGACAGGGCGGGAGGGGACAGGAGAAGAGACGAGACAGAGCGCTGAACTGCCAACAATTTATTTCTTGTGAAGGTATTCGCTTTTACACAGTTGCCAGTCGCACTAGTCGTTTGCGCCCTGCCCTGTCGTTTGCGCTGGTAAGCACCCTTTATGATGTTATACTAACACGCCCGATCCCACTGTCTCAGTGAACATTCCTCTATAGCAAACGCGGACCTGCAAAGACATATGAATTTCTGGCTAAATGTCAACCAGAACTGGAATGCTTCATCCAAAACTAGCCGGCACGTGTTAGCCAATATCAGCCACCACTAGCAAAATTTAGAAACCAACAGCCGAAAGAGAGTCCACGTTATCCAACGCCCAGTCACTAAACATCCATATGAACAACCACCAGACAGCTTGCAGAAACACAATATTCCACTCAGCAACAGCACCGGTGGTAAACACTAAGCTACGCACGACAGCATTAACCAGCAGCGATGGCAAGCAACCTCAAGTACTGATGAACAGTAACGCAGCATTAGAAAACACTCCCTACAGCTAGCTGACAGTTAACGCTATCCAGAGCTAACCAACACTAGTTAACCACTGCTTTCTGCAATAAGAACACTCTAATCAACAGTTGAAAACCAGTCGAGGAAAGTAAGCAGATACAACTGTTCTAAAACTGCACCTTTCTTCGCTCACGTCACTCCGGCTACCAGTCAATGGGGTAAAGAAAACGTGGGGCAACTGCAGGCAAAATTGTACGTCATGTTCGAAAGGCCTTGGGAAGACGTTTAGGTTTGCTTGAAGACCTTGTAGGTAATACAAAAGTCCAATGAAGTCTACCAGCCGTCCCGAATTTTACGGGACTGCCCTGACTTTCATTTTGTGCACTGAGCATGGCCGCTGCATGAAAAAAGCGCACCCATGCGCTCTTTCCGATTTTTTGCCGAGCCGGAAAAGAAGCGCAATTCCATCTCGGGTATTTTATGCCATCAATTAGACTAGTAGGTTAGCCAAGTGTGCCGCTTTTGTTTTTACACCCTGTTTGCTTGGCTCAAGCGAAGCAATGTTTCGTTAAATGGCCCTGCGAGCCAAATACCTAACATGGCGCCAATTTTTCAACGTCAATTACCTCTGGTAGCTCATCCGCCCCCTTTTCCCATTGACGGGCCCGTTTCTTATTTTCTAGAAAAAATGGCAATTCCAAGTCTCACGCCGTCCCTGTCGGGACAGCAGCCTATCTCAGGTGTGTACGGGTACCCGCGGTTACAAAGATTTACTGTATACAACGCTGTCACAGAACGAGCGCTAAAAAAGAGCGCGCCGCCAAATCCTTGCGACAACGGGCGGAAGAAACGCCGCGAGGTAAAAAAGAAAAAAAAAGAAAGCAAACATCCAAGGCTCCCGGGCGCGCGCTCTCCCCGCAGAAGCATGGCTTCACAGACGAACCTCCTCACCCCACATCGGCGGCCCAGCAAGGCCGCGATTTTTCTAGAACGAAGGAGGCGGGGTCAGACCGAGTGAATCATCCTCCGGAGAGGGCAGTCGAACCGTCTCGTGCCTCTCCCCAGCCTTCGCTGCGTATCGCGCCGACGAAATTACGAGAAATTTCTGGAAGGTGGCGCGGAAGGTATTTAATCGAGCGGCCGAGACGAGAAAGCAGGAGGAGACGGAAGTTAACGCCAGAGCGCGTAGGGATTCCGCCGTGTAGTCGGCGAAGGTTCTGCCCGTAGTGACAGAACAGGAGGAGACGGAAGTGAGCGCCAGAGAGCGTAGAGATTCCGCCGTGTAGTCGGCGAAGGTTTTTGGTCCGTAGGAACGAGGCCGGAGACGAAGAGGATTTACACCTGAGGGGTGACGACTCGAGCTACAGGCAAGAGCGTGGGTTTACCGCTATCGAGCGAAGACGCGGGCAACAGCTGCGTGTGGGAAGCCGACGGATTTCCGGCGAAGAAGCTTGAAGCTTGGAGAGTGGCCATTTGAGGACGCGAGGTTTCCTGGAAGAGAACTTCGAGAGCTACGGAACGACAACAACGCTGGACTTGGAGTGAGTGATTCTCGGAAGAGTATCATTCAGACTTTTGTTCCAAGGACTTTGGACTGAATATGTTTTCTATCTCTTAGTCCTTAAGTATCTTGGTTGTTCAATGCATGCGACTGCATTGTAGTGCGTATTGTTGTCTGTGTCCGTTGTTTTGAGTGTGGCCGATTGTACCGTGTAGTACGTTGTTTGATTGGTGACGTATTG